TGTTGTTGTTGTTGTTGTTATTATTTGTATTTGTATTACAAAAATGTATTATTATTATTGTTGTTGTCGTTGTTATAAGTAATAGTTGTAGTAGCAACATGGACAGAAAAACGTAAGACTCAAACCAAAGCCCAGAAAGCCTAAATGAACTTCTACTCGCAGACGACCAATGTCTTATTCATCCAAACCAACAAAGCCTCCAAAATCACACTACCGAACTCAACAACAGCTGCGAGAAATTTGACATGAAAATAAGCACATCAAAACCAGAAGTTATGAAAGTGATCCGAAACCGTAGTCCCCTGAACATCCATGTCAATCAATAGTAAACAACTGAAACAGGTGAAGGAGTTTCAATATACATAGATATATTTTGGCAGCAATTTTTTTTCTTATGAAAACGGGTCCATAGACAGAGAAAAGTAAGTAGCTAGCACTTAAAAAGAGCGTGGAGTGTAGCTCTATACTTGGTGCTCATCCTGTAGTAGACGACAATGTTGATGTAAAACGCTTACTAAAACTAACAACAAACAAACAAACAAGTATCAACTAGCACTTAAAGAGAGCGTGGAGTGTAGCCCAAAACTTGGAGCTCATCATGTAGCAGACGACGTTGTTGATCAAAAACTCTTACTAAAACTAAAACACCCCCCCCCCTAAAAAAAAAGTATCAACTAGCACTTAAAGAGCGCGTGGAGAGTATCCCTATACTTGGTGCTCATCCTGTAATAGACCACGATGTTGACGCTAGAGTTGACGGTCTCCATCAGGAAGCCCAGAGAGGCCAGCACCCAGTTGAGGTTAGAGAACCGGCCGACGATGCTGAGGTCAGGGACGACAGATCTAACGGTCAGCAGACAGGTCACCGGGGTAGAGGACACGATGAACAGAACGGAAATAACTGTAACCATGACGACCACGTGAGTCTCCTTTCCAGAATTCTTCTCACTGGAAACGATCGCCTGGCTGCTGGAAGAGCAGTGCCGTCGCCATTTTGCTTTTTTACGTAGCTCGAAGCTGATGACGCTGGTGCAGATAATGACAATGGCGAAGGAAGTCAGGGGAGCACAGAGGTTGGTGATGAACAGAGATACCCCGAGAACTGCGTCTTTGTGTTCCGTGTAGAGAATCCCGACAAGGGAGGTGTTGAGTTGAGGGTAGAACTTCCAGTCAAAGTAGGCCGTGGCGTAGACGGGAATCAAGCCCAGGAAAGAAAAGAAAAACACGAGAACGTTGACGTAAGCAGCCACCCTTGTGGTGATGATGGACTTCACCTTCAGGGGAACAGCCACACTGAGGCAGCGCTCGAAGGACACGAAGGCTGTGATCCAGCCCGTGATGCGAACAAAACAGACTCGCGGATAGCCGGCGGTGAGGCTCTGGATCTCAGAAGGGTTAAACGAGAGGGGGAGTCGGGAGAACCAAGGGTTAATACAGAGAGTGAACCACTGCAGCAACAACAGAGCACACAGGTCGCCGATACCTAGAGCGAAGAGGCTGATGGTGGTGCTCTCGCTGAAGCCTTGTCTGAAGAAAACGGCGATGTTGATGATGTTTGCGACGATACCAAACACGCTGACGATTTGTCCGATCACAACGAGGTTGATGATGAGGAGGAGTTTTCTAGCTTTGTCCCCGACAAGACCCGGAAGTAGAATGACGTCAACAGTGGGCGTGGTCAAAGATGCGTTGTCCCAGACCGCCATGTTGAATGGCATGCTACCTATGTTGGTGAGCAGATTGACTGACGACTGCGCGCTGTGTGTGGCCAGTCAGCAACAGCCCGGGCGGAGTCAGGAGAATGCGTATAGGGGTGTCCTTTGGAGTGGACTTCTTCTTCTTTTTCTTTCCTGGGTTGTTTTGTCCTTTTTTTTTGGGGGGGGGGGGGTAGGCCTAATTTTCCACTTCAAAGTGTCTGTTCCTTGCGATATTATTCTCGTAGCTGGCCTGGCATGGCTGAACACACAACACACCTAGGAGTGCCAAAAGCAAGAGATTCTAATTTGAGACAATGGTCCACTTTTTGGTGTAATGAAATGCTAAGTTCCTCAGCGGCCCCGATAAAACAGTAATGTGGCCGCAGAGAACCTCAAGATTTCTCGCAAAGTGAGCAGTTTAAAGAACAAAACAAAAAAAACAAATATTTGAGGCTTCACAACTTTACGTTCTGCGAAGGTTATAGACCTTACATTCGGTAAAAGCAGACTTTAAAAAACTCTGGTCTATACACTGTTCTGTCGCTGATCACAAAGAAACATGATGCGTGACATTGCTCTTAAGTTCATGATACATTTAGTTTAATTAAAACGTTTTACTTTCAAAGGCAACGCTCCATACATGTATTTCATACATACCAGCAGCTGTAGCAGCTTACAGACGTGCCCTCTAAGTAGCCTACTTTTATTGTCTTTGTTCGCCCAGCCGGGAACTTTTTGGGGCTCGTTTTCCTCAGAAAGTCTGATATTTACCCAACACAAATGTACACAAATGATTAGTTATGTTCGATCACAGCCCCAACTAAAATTGAACTGTCAACAGGAATGTATTTGTGCACGACGATTAAAATATATTATTCTAAATGTCAGCCTCGTTACTGCGTCTTCCAATAATTGGTGTTGTAACCAAACATGTCAATTCCAACTAATTCCCCCGAGGCCAAAAACTATCCGGTTTTCTTCAAACAGCGGAGCGTCACACGAAGGGCGATAATTATCTGTAGGTACACATAATATATGTACGGTATTATCTTCTTTTGGTACAACATAGAACAGTTACTTCACAATGTATGTGGAACTTGAATGTGTATGTATAAAGCTTGGGTAACTGAGTGATAGGATTTACAACTCGTTCCAGTAATTGTGTTCAAATATCATTATAATTATTTATTCTGATTTGATCAATTGATGTTTTCAATAGACAGAAGTATACTGCGCGGAGCGTTCAATATATTTCTACTCTGACTATGAAGGAATTGGGAAAAGATAAAACTTGTAGAATGTGGTTTGTGGCTTTCGGGAAAACTGTGTGAGGAGTTTAGAAAATTTTCGATGAGCGAGTTGAACTTGAGAGTACTTTTAGTAAAGGTCGAGTCTAGTGCACGGATACAAGGGAACCTGTGGAAACTATGTCTGTCGTCACACGACGATGTTACAGTGCACACTGCCGTTATACAAAAGTAGTTATAGCAACTGACAGACTGCAATGTTGTGAGGCTAGGAAAACACTTCAAAGATTGGTCTCGACTCTGGTGTGTCATTGTTGAAACAAGAACAACCGTGATCAGGGGTTGTTGGTTTTTTTAATAAGTACACGCCATTTTGAAACGTTTTTCTGCAGGAGCTCATGCGCAGTTTATAAGCAGGTTACCCTACACTGTACAGTTGTAATAGAATATAGACAGGTTGTAAACACTATTCAATTTCATTATTGTCATTATTCACCAATCTGTGAATTTCGTGGCCTCGTTTTACATAGAAAGTTACTTATTTTGATATTTACCCATACAAAAGTTGACAAATTCATTAATAATATCTTTATCTCCGATCCTGCGCCAGGTCAGCACAACCTATAAGCCAACACATGTACTGTCTGGTACAACATAAGACAACACACATGTACTCTCTGGTACAACATAAGACAACACATGTACTCTCTGGTACAACACAAGAAAACACACATGTACTCTCTGGTACAACACAAGACAACACACATGTACTCTCTGGTACAACATAAGAAAACACACATGTACTCTCTGGTACAACACAAGACAACACACATGTACTCTCTGGTACAACATAAGACAACACATGTACTCTCTGGTACAACACAAGACAACACACATGTACTCTCTGGTACAACATAAGACAACACACATGTACTCTCTGGTACAACACAAGACAACACACATGTATTCTCTGGTACAACATAAGACAACACACATGTACTCTCTGGTACAACATAAGACAACACACATGTACTCTCTGGTACAACATAAGACAACACACATGTACCAAGACACGTGATGATAAAACTGTATATGTTCTTATACTAACCGTCCTCTGACCGTCTAGATAAAACTCCACCAAACACTCGACCAGACTTCACGTTAAGTGGGAAAACTACCTATCCAATCACACAATCATTACATGTAGTAGGTCATGGTCTTGTTTTTTTCTCCGCCAGTAACGAGGCAGACGTCATCTTTGGTCCATGAGTTAGAACAGCCAGAGAGTTCTACAGTGCATTGTGTATTACATTTACACATTATGATTAGTAAACGCTGGCACAACCCAGGCTCCTCGATTGTGTCACCTTTAGGAATTTGACTTTGAGTACTCGGGCACAAAATTTTATAAGCTCGATAAATTTTCAGAAATGGGGCACCGTGGTTTTAATTCTGATTTTACTGTTGTTGTTTTGGGGTTGTTTCTGTTTGTATGTTTGTTTTGATGGGCTTTTGGGTTTGTTTGTTGCTGTTATTTTTATTTGTTTTGTTTGTTGCTGTTATTTTTATTTGTTTTGTTTGTTGTTGGGTTTTGTTTGTTGTTGTGTGGTTGTGGGGGGGGGGGTGTAATTTAGTTCAACATGTATACATTAATCAAAAGCGCCTTATTACCAACAAAAAAAACACTTTCATGTGGAGTTAGTTTGTACAGTACATGCAGGCCTAGATCTACCACAATAACAGTAATATAACATACTTTTATATAGGGTAGGCCCTATAATATGTAAAACTGTAATGTCCGCTGAATTACTTTTTTCATCTTCAGCTGTGAATAGATCTACGCATGTCTATCTACCTCGGAACACCCTTATCGCCGCGGAAGGTAACTAATTAGGCCTACAGTATCTATAAAAGGACGTTGATTGTTGGTATCTTCTACATCTACTCTGTCAGGTTCAGCGCCAAATACTAAGGCCTACATCACAAAGTCTACCACACCACACGTGTGTCAATAGCTTGAGTACCTGACATAACTCTGTCTGGCATGCATGCATCATAATGCATGTGCGAACAAATCATGTTTCTTTTGAGGTGATTAACAGGGCGGTGACGGAAACCATGGTAGCTTAGAGGTTAAGGTGTTCGCCTCTCTTTCAAAAGGTCCCGGGTTCGAATCCAGATAGCGGCGGAAAATTTCACCTCATTTCCTGCTCTCTAGCAATGTCCTGTCGTCTGCCTTCGTCTCCACGTTCTGCCCCCACCCCTTCACCTCCTGTGCCCCTCCCCCCTCTGGGCTCCTCCATGCCAAGCAAAGAACCTAACTACTGCACCACAGTCGCCACTTTGGATTATTGGGGTTTTTTCAAATCTATTTGGACACTGAACTCGAACAAAAATAGCAACAACTCTTTTAAGTTTAAGCTACAGTTTTACAGCACTTGTAACCCAAATAAGTCATACTACAAGTAGTGCAGAAGATTGGAGGTTTTACAAGAGAGTGACACACAAATAAAAAATGGAGGACAGATCATGACGAGCAAACCACACCACCGACCACCCACACAAACAACGCTAAACAAACAAAACTCAATTTAGTTTTAGTAAGAGTTTTACGGCACTTGCAATACAATAAGGTCATATAAGTGCCGAAGATTAGAGGTGTTACAAGAGAGTAACAAACATAAAAAAGAAGGAGGAGAGATCAGGACGATAGATGTTTGATGGGAAAGAAGGAGCAAACCCCACCAGATCAGAGCACCCACCAACCACCCACAAACAAAACTCAAAAGTGGGTTAAAAACACAAGAAATTTATTTCGACATCATTATAATAAATAGTCAAACAAGAGTTGGGGGGAAGGAAACATGACATAGATTATCGTCATCCGTACCGCGGGGACGAGATCTAGGAAAGTCCACATTATACATATTGTATGGTAGTTTTAAACACAAACAAAACCCCTCCAGTTGTCAGTGAGCAGACGTGACAATTTCAGTGTGCCCAGAGTCATAAACTGTATGCAGTTATTGTACATTCTTTCATGGGGAAGAGTGCAGAAGGAAAAAAACGACGAAAATCAGGAATGCATAGATCTGCATATTTTCCTTCATGGACAAAGTCTATTTTTAAACACAAAAGAAGAGACAAGTTCAGTCATTCATGCAAAGAAATAAACAACAGTCTACAAAAAAGTGGAAAAGGTAAGAGCAAGTGTTTGGGTTTAACACACCCCTACCAACACAGTTGGGTTATCTAAGAGGCCGGACCTCCAAGTTTCTGTCCCCACGGTTTTATGTACCCCGCATAATTTAGCAAAATTTGATCATTTTTTACATAATTTCAGATTATTTTCCTTTATCATTCTTTGTTAAAATTAACAGAGTCGCATAATTTCACATTTTTTGGGGCTCAGTTTGCATAATTTCAGAATTTTTTATGCATAAAACCGCAGGGACAGAAATGTCACGTCTGTCTCCGATAGGACTGAGCCAGATGGGTTGAGAGCCTTGATGAATACTCCACAACCCAACCCCATTTCAAGAACAGCCAGACTGGAATTTGAACCAGCCAACAACTGGGGACCAGTCACTGGAATTGATGTGTAAATGTACATCAAATGTGGGAAGTTTTACAGCCCCATCAAACACGTCTGAGACAACTCAGGGAGCCAGACAGCACAAACATGGAGATATATAATACCCTCACTCCATCAAACACGTCTGAGACAACTCAGGGAGCCAGACAGCACAAACATGGAGATATATAATATCCTCACTCCATCAAACACGTCTGAGACAACTCAGGGAGCCAGACAGCACAAACATGGAGATATATAATATCTTCACTCCATCAAACACGTCTGAGACAACTTAGGGAGCCAGACAGCACAAACATGGAGATATATAATATCCTCACTCCATCAAACACGTCTGAGACAACTCAGGGAGCCAGACAGCACAAACAAGGAGATATATAATATCCTCACTCCATCAAACACGTCTGAGACAACTCAGGGAGCCAGACAGCACAAACATGGAGATATATAATATCCTCACTCCATCAAACACGTCTGAGACAACTCAGGGAGCCAGACAGCACAAACATGGAGATATATAATATCCTCACCCCATCAAACACGTCTGAGACAACTCAGGGAGCCAGACAGCACAAACATGGAGATATATAATATCCTCACTCCATCAAACACGTCTGAGACAACTCAGGGAGCCAGACAGCACAAACATGGAGATATATAATATCCTCACTCCATCAAACACGTCTGAGACAACTCAGGGGGGCCTCAGACAGCACAAAGATGGAGATATATAATATCCTCACTCCATCAAACATTCTTTCCACACGGGACTTGAACTCACAAAACACTTTCCACATGGGACTTGTTCTCATAAAACACTTTCCACACGGGACTTGAACTCATAAAACACTTTCCACATGGGACTTAAACTTCTGCCTTCAGAGCGCGACAGCAAATCGCCTCACCGCCATATCACAGACACTGGTAGGGATGACTGAACAAGACATCAACAGTAATTTAAGAATCTAAAAATACACACATTCTAACCATACACACGTGAGTCATCGCGGTGAAGTCAGGCGCTTGTCAGTATAATCAAAACCGAAGAAACCAACATTTTCAGTCACTTGGACAATATATGATATTCGTTTGTTTTTTCGCTTCACACATTTTATGCCCATTTAAAATCATATTTCTGTATAGAATTTACTTTAAAACGTGGATCAAAGGCACACAAAAAATGTAAATTTGCAGACTTTTCTGAAGGACGATCAAGTTTTGAAATGCACCAAACTTTTAACGGCCTTTTTCTCACAAATTTTACCTCTCACACCAAGCGATGTCTGCCTCCTTTAATCGCAAATGTCTCAACTTCTATTCAAGATAGATAGGGTGGGGTTTTTTTTCATCCAGAACAAGACAAAAAAACAAGCTTGAGTATGCCGCCAATAACTCTCTCTACGCACAAAAACTGACGAGCGCCTGATTCCACCGTGTCGTGACAAATATCCAGAGTTTCCCGCCTTCCAACGCAACAGGGTTCATTTATGTACGGAATGGCACTCACAAACAACAAAGTTTGCTGCAGTTTATAAATGATACCGGTCTTTAATTTTAGTAAAAGTTTTACAGCACTTGCAACACAATAAGGTCATATAAGAGATGAAGATTAGAGGTGTCACAAGAGAGTAACAAACACAAAAAAGAAGGAGGAGAGATAAAGATGATAGATGTTTGATAGGAAAGAAGAAGCAAACCACACCAGAGCATCCGCCAACTACCCACAGTAATACCGGTATCATCTTGGTTTCTGGTGACAATGTTGGTATATATATATATATATATATAATAAAATATTTTCTATCAACATGCATAGCAAAGTTGTCAGGAACAAGATGGGGAGGAAGACACCTCTGTAGATGTCCCGTCTGTTGGATAAGTACCGTACGGCTCACACAGTCACACGTCTGTTAAGTATCGGTTGAGGACAGTTTCAGAATGTGATGTACACACAGCGCGTGTATTCATTTACATCTCTTCTGCAACTTTCCACTATCACTAAATCAATCATGAGGTGTTTCAGTTTCCAGCAATTCTACAATACAGCTTTGTTCTGTTTTCTTATTTTCTTCCTAGTTTTAAATGTAAAAATAATGAGTGCCCAAGTCATGGTTCCGATCAGGGTGCTCTCAATTTCTTAGGTCTAATTTTTCTCAAAACTTTTTTTAAAATTTACTTAGTCGTTTGTGAAACAACACTGATGATATAACGGAGACTCCAACCAGACACCACAACACGTTTGTCTGAGTCTACGCGTCTGACTGAATGGATTGGCACTCAATGCGAGCGTGACGTGCCACAACGAAGCACAGAAACGAGACAGATATACACATATGGTAATAAATCGTGGTTTACGCAGGGATAAAAGTGGTTGGTGACGAAAAAGCCTGAAAATTTGTTGGTGCGCTTGTGCGAAACAAACAAAAAACGGCAAAATTCTATCTTTCCCATTAAATGTAAAAATGAACATTGAACAAAAAGACACGAGAAGTATTTGGAGCATTTGAAATCCTGCAATTTCACCTCTCTACACAAAACATAAGAATAAACAGTAATCAAACAGAGGTAGAGAATGTTTGCTGTATCACTCACAGCAACCATTCAGAAAATTTTCAAAAGCCGGATTTCCAACTTAAGTTGGAAAACTTTTGTCCCTATTAATAAAGGTGAAAAAAAAAACCCCAAACCAGTCACAACCGTGCCAGGAAGCAGAAGTGGACCGCAGTAAGTACATGTAATGATCAAAGTTTGGAAAAACATTTTATGAATAAACCAGAGATACTCCCAACTATCTACAAGGAAGAGAAAGACGGGGAGGGAGGGGGAGGGGGAGAGAGAGAGAGAGAGAGAGAGAGAGAGAGAGAGAGAGAGAGAGAGAGAGAAAGACAGAGAGACAGAGAGACAGAAAGACAGAGAGAGAGAGAGAGAGGAGGGGGCGGGGGGAGAGAAAGTTGGAGGAAAAGAAATATACACTGCCTTTGTTAATATAACAAAGACAAATATCTCGCTGAGGCTGAGGGATTTGCATAATTTTGCATCATCATATAAATACGAGAAAAGACACACACACAAATCAATGATTTTATGCTCTAACCATATTTAACTGGTTTCTTGAAAATTCTTCAACATGCAAAAAACAAAAACAATCAAAAGAGAAAACACAAAATTTACTAAAAATGTATTTTTCTATTTGCAATTCACGTTGACCCCTGATTTTTATTGCAGACCCACAGATAACATCCATAAGATGTTAGAACCAAAAAATAGGAGTTACGAGATAACCTGCTGTTTTTATTCCAAAATACACCGTTAAAGCATAACACCATCTATTTAAATAACGTTAATTATCAAGATGAAGATAATGACCCAGTCCCGTACAACAAAGCTCCACACTCTTTACAAGTGATGAACGTGCCAACAAATGTGAGGTGTGCTGACAAAATGAGTTACTTCTCGCAATCCAAAAACGGAGATATTAGCTAAAAAAAAGGACACTAGGGTCAAATTTATAGATTTCCTATTTATGTCATATTCTTTAACTTTAACTATAACATTCCTTTTATTATTTCACACTTCTAAATTGTAAAAACTTCACCAATAAGCGTGATGTATCTATTTCCATCAGGCTTGAATCTGAGATGTAACTCATTTTGTCAGAACGCTTCACATAATATCTATATGCTCTAGATTAACAGTAACACATTCGTCACATGTGCAGACATTACTATTTTTACTATCACAGCAAATTGATTGAGAACACGAGAGAACTAAGAAAAAAGACAAACTATCACAATGGCATTTCATGAAGTATATTTATACATTAAATTTTAAACTTTGTATCTGACTTAGTACCTCTCAGCCAATTTCTTCAGTTTTATTACCATCAATGACACGAGCCTGATTTCACTACGATGTCACAGATATAACATAACATAACTCAGCCACAAACACGCAGACAGCTGTCAGAATAAATCCGTCCCGCTACAAAAGAAACCATTGTAAAGACCAAGCTGTGACTCACATAAAACTTTGCAATGCTGTCCACGCACGTGAACAGTTTCTAGAAAATGCATAATTTGAGCTAGACACAGCAGAAACCAGTAACCACTTGTTGAACAGTCTGTCCGCCGGCTTACACACACACACACGCACCGTGTAGGCCTACCGCTGTCTCTTATCACGGTACAAGACTCCAGAATCTCACACACAACACCTTCTTCTGCTGTCTCGCACCAGACTACAAAACTCCAGAATCCCGCACAACGGTGAGACTATCCCAGTCACTGAAGCAGGTAACTTTGGCCAGAGAGAGAGCGCTGTAGAACGAACAACTTTACACACGCACACTGACACACACGCACATACACACACACACACAGTGACAGTGAAACCGGAACAATGTGAGTATCTTCGAAAAGTGTAAAATACTTTCCACACATCTAGAAACTACCAACTTTACAACACGCCGATGATCAAACCCTCACCCCAAAGTTTTATTCACCTAAACTGCTTTGACAACCTGGAGACCAAACATTCCTTGCTCTTCGCACAAAGTTTTATCAACTGTGAAATTCCCTTCAATTTGCTGATTCTTCTTATCTCTGTCTGTTCACATGTTGGTATCGTACAGCCTGTCTTTTAGTAAAGCTTCGATAATGGAAAAATGTGTTCAAGAAGATGAAGATAGTATCAGTATGACCCTATATGGATCATAGGCTCCAACTAAAGTGCAATATTATCAAGATCAAAATTGAGTGTGCCCAAGAAAAAACAACAACAACATACAATACAATACAGTATTAAATAAATGCATAACTGTGTCACATTATTCATGTCTGTTGCCCTTTTGAACAAATTTATCAGGTGCCTTAGTCCCTTAGTCTTAGACTGTTCAATATTTGTAAGTCATTGTGCCGTGCAGCCAAGCAAACTTCAAGTCTTCCAGGATTTTATCATTCGAATCAGTCAAAAACTACTTGACAATAATCCATCCATAAAGTAACACTGACGAGGGGAGAAATGTCCATGCTACAACTCCTCTACCAAAACACCATGCTGGAAACATTTTTTCCAGATGCCGTGGAATTTGTTTAACATGAAGTTGTTTACACAAAATTCCTGTTAACACTAGGTCTAGATTTCAAAACTCCCATTTTTTTTCCTTCTACATTCTTCGCATTGCAACTTCCCTTGACGCGATCAGAATTCCAACAGATCTGGTTAATGAAGGAATTTTGGGCGGTTTCATTATTCCTCCAAGATGGATTTTTCTTTACTTAATAACGAAACAGATGACTCCTTCAACCAAACTCTTATCACTGTTGTAGCTTCACTCCCTCAGCTCTGAGTACATGTGGTTGTATGTATACATATACGAGTATATATATTATTATTATATATATATATACATGCATCACCAGGATATTGAGAGCCCACTGGTTATCTTACAAACATCACCATTGTCATAAAAAAGCACACGTAGTGAGGACTTCATGGACTTAGAGTGTATTGCACAATCAAATGCAACATAAAACAAAACAAAATGTTTTCAAAAATTGACTCCTAAACATGAAATCCCTCTCAAACAAAAATAACGGACAATAAAGTCAAGTGGAAGGCTTCACCAAAAAACTGAAACAAATCAAAAATACCGTTACAAAATAAAGTATGGACATCTTCACTCCAGGTTCCACCAATACTTCCAAAAACAAGACCACAATAACATTTTGTCTCACACAACGAGAGCAATAGAGTCCACACCACACACATCATTCTCTGTAGCCTGATGAAATAGAAAATAGCTTGGTTGGTCCGAACAATCTGTTCCCATTTTCTGATCCAAATGACGCAGCTCCACAAGTATAAAAGCCATCAAATACATCTCAGCAACAGGCCCAGATCTCTCCACCGTTAGTCACACATTGTGTTATCGTAACTCATTAAGTCGCGGCCAGTACGGAATCACAGCGGTCACTCCACAGTGGACACGTTCACACCGACACAAAACAAAACCATGACACGTGAAGTGAAAGTAGGTCATCACACATCGCACAAATTATGTCATATCAACTGAGAAAAAATACCCCAGGTCAGCTAGACCAAGTTTTTGTTTTGGTAAAGTTTTACTGCACTCCCAACGGCATAAGATCATTCATGAGCACTCTAGCATGATGAAATAAGAACTTTAAAATCAAAAGGAAATAATAATAATAATAATAATAATAATAGATCACATTGTTTATTGAAGCTCTCCATCCCATACAAAGTATAAGCTAGGAACGTTTCACATGATGACGTGAAGAAATGAGATGAAGGGAAAAGTGTCACACTTGACAAAACACACACAGTCTTGAGCCTTAACATGTAACATATATATTTATATAATCACGGCAAATCTAACAAATTATCTTTTTCATACAACTTTTGGGTAATGTTATATATAACATTGAGCTCGTCTATAAGATCTGTCATCCTGGCCTTACCAGCGTTGCTGTCCTCTATGCTCATTTTGTTGAGGAGATCAGGTCGGCTGGGCAGCATGTACATGGCGACGTGCACCGCTTTCTTCACCAGCCACGGGTGGTGTTTCGCCAGAGTTTCGTCGTAGGCTTTTGTCGCCACCGAGGAGAACTTGACTGAGTTGTCCGTGTCCCGAATCTTCATCAGCAGCGCTGAGATGAACTCCAGGGCACGATGAAGACGTAGAAGAGTTCTCGCCCCCGACGGTCTTTTCTTCATGTTGGTCAGGCTGTTGGCAACTTCGTAGTCGAGCATGGACTGAATAGTCTTGTAGCTTTCCGCATTTTCAGCCTTGCGGAAATCTCGAAGGATTCCAATTTTCTCCTCGACGTCAGACGTGACAAATGAGAAGATTGTCCCAAACAGACGGAAGAGCCTGTGGGATAATTTGTCAAAAATCAGTTACTCACAATAATTGAAATGTTATCTGAGAGACCTTTCATTCACTCATCATATCTATTCACCGAGTTGATTAAAGCAGCAGGGCTTTCTCTGATGGCACCATCATAACCACAAGAACACGCAGAGACTGTGACACAAATGTAAGCAAACAACTGTTGAAAGGGGCAGAAAAGGTTGCAATCAGAGAAAAAAGGTCATGTGATGCCATGAAACACCGCCTACTGTCACCGCGTGCTCATGATAATTTTGCTGTTTTGTTTTCACCTTGTTTTAACCGCAGTCGAACAAAAGTTTTAAAAAATGAGCTGCAAGCAATCATTAGAGTCATATCAAAATCAAATCATAGTCAGTCACTGACACTAGATCTTGATCTATTTCGCTAACTACGTCTCTACTAAGTCAGGTGCTCATTGAAAATTGCCTTCCCGTTCCATTGGCAGAAATTTTCAATTTTCAAACTGATAATTTGCCATGTAAACGTGAAGAAGGCATGTTTTTCTAAAATTATTATTTTTGCCAGGGGGCCACCCCTACTGTTGTGGGTAGTGCGCATCAACGCATTACACCCTAACTCGCCCGGGAATTCCCTTACGTGCTCCACCCTGACTCGCCTGAAACCGCCTGCCCCCACCTAGCGTCTTAGAAAACGAAGTCTCGCCTTAACGAGACTCTGGGCCGAGATTTTGATTTGAACAGTTATTGCAAAAAGTTTCTTCTTTTGTTTGATACCAAAACGAAATTTCTCGAGCTAGTAGTTTTAGTATTAGAGCCGAACGAAGTGCGATCGCGTTACCGACACTTCAAAGGTGTCTCGACTTGTTGAAAAGCGACACAATTGAGTTCGAAAAAGGAAGTAACGATCGATTTGAGCAAAAACAAGATATATATATGACAAATCAGACGACTCAGATTTTGATGAAAACGTTGTAGCAACAGTTTGGGGCCATTCGGATTGATCAGACGTAGAAAATCTTGAATTTAGATCTAGATCTAGGACCCGTCCGCGAGGCTGAGAGTGAGAGTGACGGGTCGAACACCCCGATTGAACTAAAGTTAGAACATTTCCAACAGTTTGCGCAAACATCAAGTTATAGTTATATTTTTCTTAAATTACTTTCATTTTTCGTTTTAATTTAACTTGTATTTTTTCAGGATTTTTGGAATTTAATTTTTTTAATGTGTTTTTTAAAGCGAAGTGATTATTCGGACTCGAGTCCGAATATGAAAAAATGTTATTCAGACTCTGATTCTTGTCCAGCATGACATCACTTCCAACTTCCTGTGATTCGTGACTCCGGCTTCCTGTCCTGCCTCACTCGTGACTCGCCTCAGGCTGGGTAGAGACCGGGATCACTTTGGGCAAAAAGGCGTTTTGTGCAGGAGCCGAGTTTTAATCTTACGACGAATTTGAGGCCGGCCTGAAAAGTTATAGCGCTTCTAATAAATGTTTATTTGTCAAGAGGTCATCAGAAGCAATTAAAGATGGCTCGTTAGCGTGTGTCGGGGTCGGATGGGCGGCCTGCACACGTGTGGCAGTGTGCGTGTCGGGGAGGGAGGTGGGGGCACTATCGGTCCGGGCGTTGAACGTCGCATACGCGTCAGTCCCCCCCCCCCCCCCCCGGCAACTGATCATTATTACAATAATAAGCTAGTCTTGACGTAGATCTACGTAATGAATTGTGCGCTGGTCTATGGACTCAAAAGTTGCCGTATGCTCAGCTCTACACAGCAACACAACTTTTTCTGGATAAACAGCTCATAATATGCAGGTGCCAGGTGGTCTGCTAATCTTCAATTTCACCTTTTTCTACAACAAAGAAAGTGGGAAACATGGGGGGTGGGGGGGGGGCGTATCAATGAGGCGGCAGGCATCGGATCGGCAGAAAAGGTGTGTGTGTGAGGGGGGGAGACTAAAAAATGGCGGAAAATTGGAAGCACTGAACGTTAGAACTATAGAACGAAGACACTTCCTTTTTTCCGGACCCGAGTCCGAATAACATTTTTTCATATTCGGACTCGAGTCCGAATAAGAATTTTTTTTATTCGGACTCGAGTCTGAATATGAAAAAATGTTATTCGGACTCGAACGACGGCCTTTTTAAAGGCTTGTATTCACGGGAGGTGGGTTCCTTCCCCTGGCTTAGGATCTAACAATGGACTTCCCGTCCAGACCCTTAGGGTGTATTGTGTTAATACACATGTAAACACGGTGGGTCCACCAAAGTTCAATCCGGCCAGAATAAATGTTTTAATACAAAACATTTTATTTTATGATAAGCCGGTTCGGAGGACAAAGAGTACATTGGCATTAAGTAAACAAATTCAACAGACATATAGATCTAGGAGGGAAACAAAATATGGATTCGTACTTGCAAAGCTCTTCGTAGGCATCCACATAACAATCCAGGGATAGAATGTCGCCATCTCCTCGACAAGAAGAGAAAAGCTTCAGCACTTTCTCTGCGTCAAATTTTTCAGCATCCGAGGCAGCCATTTTGACGCCGGAAGTCAAGTCGGGCTGAATAGAAAATGATCAAACAATTAGCTGAAATTTGTTCCCATTAGAAACCAGTTCTTTCGTGGTTTGGATTAAATCATTGTTAAACATTTTATTTGACACCTAATGGCTGGCAATGTTTTACAAGCCTTGCGCCTGTACTCTTTCTTCGTAATAAGCAAAAAGAGATCAGGCTTGAGATCGCTAAAAAGAAACAAACCATAATATTATAAATTTCATGTATCACTATTTCATCCTACTGTCTGTTTTCATGAATATTAGTGACTGCAGAGAATGCCTAATTTATGGAAATACGAGCTGAATACATCATGATATGCTAATAATGTAGCCAACTTCGTTGTGTTGCTAATTATAATGCTGCACGTGGTCTCAAACGCACCTTACTTGGTCTTCCTGCATATATTTTACATTGTTGTCTCATGATGGCAACATTGTCAACGGTTTTAGCTCATTCAAACTGTTGCATCCACATCACAAGACTGAACTATAATTAATTGGATCTCTGCAAAGGGGGGGGGGGGGCAGTGTTCACTATATAGGGCCATGCATGTTGGAAACGCACATTTTAAATTGTAAACCACCACGCCCCTTCCCCACCCCCCCCCCCCCTCCCCACCCCCCCCCCCTCTCTCTCTCTCTCTCTCTCTCTCTCTCTCTCTCTCTCTCTCTCTCTCTCTCTCTCTCTCTCTCTCTCTCTCTCTCTCTCTCTCTCTCTCCATTAGCCTGTATATCACATAGGCCTATATAAGAGTAGAGTTGCTTGGACTCGTCATTATCACTGGAGTCTGGACTGGGGTATGATCACAAAAACCGTAGGCCTACATGTTCGATGTGGTTCTGTGTTCGTTGAGTTTACCAGAATTCCTTCCTCGTCTAGGCATATCCTTTCACCGCTTCCTTCTTCTCCAGTGTATATTATTCCTACATTACTATTATTACATGTATTCTTGAGGACGTGTTGGTGCGAGAGTAAGTATAATAGGCTGTGGGTCGAGTGTAGAGCGGGGGGTGTAATTCTAATCTCTGTGCACACCAAAGATGTAATAAATCATCATCATCATCATCATCATCATCATCATCATCATCATCATCATCATCATCATCATCATCATCATCATCATCATCTGCCACAGACATCGGCGATCATGGTTCTCCATTCATTCCTTTGCTCGGAAGCTCTAAAAAGAGCTACGTTTCCCTGATCTTTCCCCGTCACCCATCTTTGTTTAGGTTCCCTAAGTAGGTTGTTCTGGGCCTACCCCTATGCCAGTCGTTTGCCTTCAATTTTGCTAGTGAGAGCTATAAGATGTTCAAGACCCTTAATTATGTCTATTCAGGTGTCCCAAAAACTGCATTTGTCGGTTCCTGATTGTTTTTAACAGTGAGCGTCCCACGAGGGCTTCATCAAGCACTACTTCATTTGCTTTCTTTTCCATCCACGATATTCTCAACAGTCCTAAGAAACCACATTTCTGTTGCTTCTATTATATTTTCACTGTCTTTGGTGATTGTCCAGCATTCA